GTCATTGGTAACTCGAAGATTCTTAAAAACTTCCTCTGCTTTTAAGTAGCTTTTAGACTTTTAGTGTTACCTTCAGCGACAACAGGCCCTGATAACCGAATGTTTGTACGATTTCGAATTTCTTGGTCTAAAATTGATCATTCTGCATACGTTATAGCAAACTCGGCTATTATTCAAAGGATTACAGAGAATATACGACATGAACTAGTTAATTTTTGCCAAGAAATGCTTAAAATAAAACAAGTAAGAGATGATTATCGTGAGATGCTGGAATTATCAGTTATATTTCTTGGTGAAGAACCCACCAGAGGAATAAAATTTATGACTCCAGGTGCTACTAGTCATTCACGTTGGATGTCAAAAGTAATTTACTGTTTAAAAATATTTATGTTTAGTGAACAATTTCATCTAAGTACCAAAGAAAAAAGGGGCCTCGAGGAAATATGTGTTTTCATTGTAACCGTCCATTTAAAAAATTGGTTCACTGCAACTTTGGCGGCATGTGCTCCAAATAATGACTTGCAACTGATAAAGACCTTAATAAAATATGATAATCCACATATTTCAAAAGCCACTGTAAAAAAAATGATGGGTCATTTATGGTATTTGTCAGATGAGTTAGTTGGTCTTTGTCTGTTCGACAAAAATGTCCCTGTTGAAACCAAATGTAAGATAATTTACGCCATAAATAATAACCCCTCTCCAGAAGTTCCCAATGTAAGACCGAAAATTGACCAACACGATGTAGAAAATTTACAGCTTCATGATTTAGCTAACAAAAATACAATACAAATTTTCACAGAATTTGGTGTCGATGAATTTTTGAAAAATGACGTGGTAAACTGGACCGAGTCTAAAAGCTACTTAAAAGCAGAGGAAGTTTTTAAGAATCTTCGAGTTACCAATGACGTGGCAGAAAGAGGAGTTTCATTGATTCAAGACCTTAATCGCAAAATTACTCATGATGAGGATCAACTTCAGTTTCTCTTACAAGTAGTTTCTGAGCATCGGAAGATTTACCCTGATTGCAGCAAACAAACTTTAAAAAAAAGCAATTCAACTTTTCTATAATTTTTTAATTCTTTAGTAAGTAAAATTAGAAATGTTAAAAATGATTTATATAATATAGCTTGACTTATTGATAAAAAAATATAAGAACGTATACATAAAATAGTTTTCATTATTATTTTATTTTTTTTTTAAGTTAAAAATTTTCAAATAGCTTGGGATGGCTCAAAAATTAATTTTTAGTGTTTTTTTTTCTTGAGAATTGTATATAAAACCAGGTAGAACAATTTTCAAGTGTAGGAGTATAACTTAAAAAAAAAATTTTTTTTTTGTCACTTTTAGACCACCCTAATATATATATATATATACATTACAACGTATTCAAGATGGTCCTATATAGAGTGTTTACAGTAGTAAATAAGGAAACGGATTTCTATTGTTCTCATTGTTTGAAACAATTGCATGTTTTCTTAATTACTGAACATTTTGTTGGTTAACAAAAATTATAGTTGACTAGTAGCCCGTTTATTTGATTGTACATATTTCAGTTGTGTATACAGAGTAATCAAAATCATGTAAGACACTCATTTTCTCAGAAAATATTGAGAATTTTAAATTTTATTATAGAGAAAAAATATCAAGTTCAAAAAACTCTACATTAATATGTAGTTAAATCATAATTTTTTTTTGTTCCATCAAGGATAAAAACCCTTATTTATAATTTTCTTAAATGGGAACCCTTATTTTTAACTGTGTAATATGATAGAAAAAAAACTACAAACAATTTTAATGCTAGACTCTAGACATCCAACCAGCCAAGATTCCCAGCCTAGTATCATTAATGGGTGATTTCTTAATTTAAAAATTCATGCCACTGTTATAATATCATATATACTTATTGTGCTATGTTGTACAGATTGTGTATTTCAAATTGTAAATAAAATAACAAACAATTTTATTCTTATAATTTTTACTTACTGTATTAAATACAGAAGTTATTATTTTTATTTGCTATTACATAAACTAAATTTAATTGATCAAGTTATGACAGGTAAATTAGCTATAAAAATTTACTACACACTAAATGAGTGATAACAATAATAGATTCAAACCGGGTTTTCGGTGTATTATTAATAGCTAAGTCTATGATTTTGTAAGACTAAAGGATCTAACAAAAATACCGGTTGCACTGCCACCGATATTATAAAACGTAATAAATGATAATACTTTTTCTGGTAGTCAAAATCTTTAAACAATTATAAAACGTGAACGGTTGTTCGGATAAAAAAATTATAAAAACAAAATTGCTTGAAGTGCTTGAGGATATATCCATATTTACAGTTGAGTTCTGACGTTTCGGACTCATTGCAGAGTCCATCTTCAGAGTGATGGTTGCTAGTCGGTGGCTGCAACTATACTGGTATATGTATATACCAGTATAGTTGTCTTAGTCCTTGCTAGTGATGGGCATAATCGAATGATTTCGATAATCGAATGATTAGTAATCGAGACATTTTCATAATCGAGTGAATCTCTCGAAAAATCACTCGAAGTTAAAATCGTCTGCTCGTATGATAAGAATAATCAACTATTATTATTTATCGAGAGAATCGAAAAATTATACGAAATATGAATAAATATACCTATAGTAAATAATTATTAATTTAATTTTGCTTTTTTTATTTGTTGGTGTTTATTTATAATTAATATATTAAACTATAATTTAGGAATAATAATAACAATAATATATTAATAATGCATTATTAATAAGTGCTTTAAATAAAAGACAAGTTGTTATTTTTTTTATTTAATAATTATTACCTATATTTTAAANTTTATTTGATAATTATTACCTATATTTTAAAAAAACCGATAACAAATTTAAAAATAAAAACATAAGATAAGGTAGCAATAGCCTGCTTGACCATCATAATTAAAACACCTAATTCCACACCTAATTGATTTTTCATAAATTCACAACTAGTGAGAGAATCAGAACTCAGTAGTTTAGCCAGTTCAGGACAAAACTTTGTTCTAATCGTCACATACTTCCCAAAAATGTGACAGATAAGGTGTTGCCATGAGTAGCGATTGAACGAGTTGAAAATAAGACTCGAAGTCAACAATTTAATAATAATTCGACTATAATTTATGCTAAATAAAAACTTAAAAATAGTATTCTCTCGTTTCATCGTTTCATGGACATCATTCGAAATAACTTTTATTCGATTATATACATTTCAAGATCAAGAAATCATTGTTTTTATAATAAACGAGAAATCATTAGAAATAATCACTCGATTATAGAATAATCAATATTATTCTAATATTATTTATTAAAAAAATCAGAATATCTCGATTATATAATTGATATGATTTCAATAATCGAAATATCTCGATTATTTTCATAATCGAGATATCTCGATTATATATCTCGATTATGCCCATCACTAGTCCTTGTGTCTTTCATCAGTCTCAGTACTCGGTTGTCGCGGTCCGGCTTACTGCTTAAAGTATATTCTTTGTTCTACATATAATGTATTTTTTTTAGATAGTAACTTGATCTCAAATGATAGAAGTAATTATAAATATTAATTGAAAGTTATTTGTAAACAAATAAATTAGGGTAAATGTAGTTCATATATCCGTTGTAAATTAGTAAAAATATTATTGTCCAGATTGTAACTACTATAGTTTAAGCATATTGGTTTTTAAGTCATAACTGACAATAAACAATGGATACATATGTTTAATCATGAAAAATAGAATTAACATATACAGGGTGATTGAAATCTGGTAAGACACCCATTTTCTCAGAAACTATTGAGAATTTAAAATTTTTGTAAAGAGAAAAATTAACAGAATTATAAAACTCTACAATAATATGAAGTTAAATCAATTTTTTTTTATCTCTTCAGGGATAAAAATGTTTATTTATAATTTTCTTAAATAGGAACCCTTATTTTTAACTTCATAATACGATAGAAAAATAAATTACAAACAATTTTGTTCTTATAATTTTTTTTATCCAATTAACCATTCGTCCGTTACAGTTTGTTAAAGTTAAGTGATTTTAGGCCAAATTTCTATTGTCATTTTACTGTATTAAATACAGAAGTTATTATTTTTATTTGCTATTACATAAATCAAATTTTATTGATCAAATTATGACAGGTAAATTAGCTATAAAAATTTACTACACACTAAATGAGTGATAACAATAATAGATTCAAACCGGGTTTTCGGTGTAGTATTAATAGCTAAGTCTATGATTTTGTAAGACTAAAGGATCTAACAAAAATACCGGTTGCACTGCTACCGATATTATGAAACGTAATAAATGATAATACTTTTTCTGATAGTCAAAATCTTTAAAAAATTATAAAACGTAAACGGCTGTTCTGTGAAAGAAATTATAAGAACAAATTGTTTTTAATTTTTTTTTCTATCAAATATTATCAAATCAAAAATAGTGGTTCCCATTAAAAAAAATTATAAATAAACATTTTTATCCCTGAAGGGATAAAAAAAAATTCATTTAACTTCATATTATTGTAGAGTTTTATAAACTTAATAATATTTCTTTTTACAAAAATTTTAAACTCTCAATAGTACCTGAGAAAATAACTGTCTTATCAGATTTCGATCACTTTGTAAATTGATACAACTTAGGTACACGGTGTGTAATCAAACAAAAAAACGGTAGCACAGTGGTGTCAGGGGCACAGTATGGACGTGGCGTAGTAGGGATAACTATATATGATATCTGACAGTGATTAAAATCACTATCATAAGAAACGCTTCAATGCAAATGTGTAGATAGTGTTTAATTTAAGAAATTGGTAGATTATTTCAAAAACAACAATAACACTTATTCCCTTAATTTTATCCCAATTTATAATTATAATATATGAATACATAATAATTACAATAATTAATATTAGTATGAAATTTATATTCAATAATATAATATTGTAATTTTTAAATAAATATTATAAAAATAAAAAGGAGTTATATATTCATATACTTTTAAGGCGTATAAAAATTTAAAGGGATTTATGCAATACTTTTCAATAAAAAATTTATTTTACTTATGAATAAATACACTGTACTAAAAAGAACTTTCATCAGAAGCAAATATATACTTTTCTAAATCAACTTTTTGCGTTGTTTTCAAATCTGCAATTAGACTTTTTGTATCACTTCTAAGTTTTATTATTATTAAAAAGTTGCGTTCTACCCGTCGAACAGTACGGACGTAGTTATCGAATCTGTTTCCGCGGTTATTATTATTGTTATTATCTTTGTATCGTAGTTTTTCAAACAAATCTATTTATTTATCGAGTTGTAGTTTCTCTCCCGGTATTTTTGAATGCCTAACCAGGCTCCGGTGGAGGAGGGCCGATCTTCCCCCCAACGTCGACCACAATCTCTTTAAATAACCAAACAATTCTCTTCTAACGAGAGCCTGGCGCCCTCGAAGAAATCGATCAAAATTAAATCGCCATCCGGCCCAACAGCTAAAAAAGCTAAAACCGGTTTGATCTCTCCACCGCTATCGCCAACCAATGTAGTCATGACTGACGCTACAATGAACATTACTCATAAAGATAAAACATCACCATCATATACCGACAATCACACGATATCAACACAACATGGCATCACTCGTTTTCCGGACAACTATTCTGGCCCCATTTGCGTCCTACTCTCATCTACAGATGAAAAAAATTTAGAAAAACTAAATCCCGTCAAACTAGGTAAAGTTCTTACAAAATCGTTTAAGGGCATTATTAATATTAAGTTTATTAGCACTAAGCGTTTGAAAATTACTCTCGATATTGTCCACAACGCTAATTTGTTTTTAAACTCTTCACACCACTCTGAGAACGGCTTATCTGCTTCTATACCGAGTACTTTATTATTCAGTTTGGGCGTGATACGCCTTGACATCAACGTCACTGAAACTGATTTTTGGGACAGTTTAGAATGCTCTACAGAGATCTTATCTTTCAGACGTATCAACACCAAGCGTGACAATCAACTTGTCCCCTCTCCATTCGTCGAGCTGAATTTTCTATCCACCTCTCTACCGAAATTTTTGTCCATCTATAAAGTGTTATTCGACGTCTCGCCTAGCGTGCGTAGCCCCGTGCAGTGCGCTATATGCCTCCGTTTCGGACACACACAAAAATTTTGCCGTAGTAAAGAACGCTACGGACACTGCGGCTTAGCATACCACAACGCGTCGCTTTGCCCCGAAAAATATACTTTTCCACCGATCTGTATTCTTTACAACTTAAACCACCTCTCAACCGATCGGTCTTGCGTCGAATGGACTATTCAAAAAGACATAAAAAAAATCATGGCAGTAAATAATATTTCTTATTCTGAAGCCGCAGCAATTAAGCGTTCTGGTGTTGTCAACTCAGCTTTTTCCTACGCACAAGTCACTAATAACTATACTCTAATAAGAACAATAATATTAATAATGTTAAAAATATCATTAATGTTAATAATGCTAAAAATTTTAACAATGTTAATAATGTACAGCCAGCCAGTCCTCATACTATAGATAACCATTTACTTACCTCCTTTTTTCCGGCTCTTAATTCTTCCTCCACACAAAAACATAAAAAAAAAACTGCTCTACATAATAATAACGCATATTCTTCCCCCCATTTCCCTTCACTCCACCCTGTTAATGAACACTTCGCTTCCCCTAATGGTAGTTATCTTAATTACGTAACTTCCATTAATTCCCCCACTCATGAAAATAATGACTGGATTTCATCCTTCGTCGATCAACTTTCTCAGTCCCTTACTCGCGATCCTGACTCACTTTCTTCTCCTGCCTCGCTCCGTTTTTTAGTAGAATTTTCCTTATTTAACGCCAAATCTTTAAAGACAATTAATGATGACAACTCTAAATAATACTAATATTTCTTCAAACTCCTGTCCTGCCTTTAATATTTTACAATGGAATATACGCAGAATTATTCCACACACTCATGACCTTTCTTTCCTCTTATCTGAACACAATAGCTCCTTTGCTTTATTATCGGAAACTTGGCTTTTACCAAAGCGGTCTTACCAGATCAACAATTTTAACCTCATTCGTTCTGATAGACAGGACGGTTACAGTGGAGTGGCCATTGCTGCCCATCACACCATTCAAATTTCTCCTATTTCTATTAACGATAATCTTTTAAACTCCCTACGTATTCATTCAATCGACATTATTGGTATTGTTGCTTTCTCTAACCATTCTTCTCCTGTTTGTCTTTGGTCTATTTATATTCCCCCCTCTTCCAACCCTCCTCCGACAAAAGTTAATTCTATCTTCTATTTGTTTTCTATTAACTCCATTAACGGTGGGGACTTAAACGGTCACCATCCTGCATGGGGATCTCATGACAGTAATTATCGTGGAAATTAAATTTTTTCTTTCATTTGTTCTTGACACGGCCACGGCGTTGTCACACGTTGACACCCCGCGGTCGTGTCAGCTCCTTCTCAGCCACCGCTTAACTGTAAACCGGACCGTCACACACACGCGTTATCGTCGTGGTGTAAAGTCCAACAAATGCCTAGCGTCGTATACCCCGCCGCAATAATACGTCGAGTCAGTCTTCTTCGGGACACCTTTGACACTGTGATACGCCGTCCACCGGATCAACCAGAAAACGCCACCGTGTTTCGATTAACTTTTATTGTCTTTTGTCAACGGTTATTTCACAGTAATACTAGTGTTATTATTTATCATTTGTTCGCATATTATTTTTGTGTCGCAACTCTCTTTTCACTTCTTTTATTAAACGGCTCGACGCCAAGTAAAACTTCATCCGTTGTTACTTCATTCATCATCATCTTTTCCTTAACATTCTTTTAATCTAAGTATTATCAAAGACGGCTCCCCTACTCTCGCCAATCGCCCCCCTTTTGCCGACACAGCTGTTGATATTACTTTTACTTCTCCTATATTATCTTGGTCTCTTCATTGGTCTGTCCTAGATTGCGTTTATGGTAACAACCACTACCCCATTGTTATTTCTCACTCTCCTCCTTCCTCCAACTATATTTCCTATTCTCCCATCAAATGTCACTCCCCCTTACACAATTTAAACCAAGCCGATTGGAATCTCATTTCAGCTTTGCATAGAAGCTAAAACTTAAAATATAGTAAAATAATTTTAATACGAATAAGAAATTTCTACTTGCAAGGGGCGACTAAAGTGATAGGATCCTTGATCTTTATTGAAGTTATTGAATCTAAATGAGTTAAAAATTTATACTAACTTAAAAAGAATTAAGAAAAATTGCAAAAAATTCATTGCCTTACGCAGGCTGGAACCTCGTACACCAAGCGTGTAAAACATAAGTTTTACCAACTCGGCAACTGTACGTTGCAATCATCGATTGAAAAATTTGGCTATTTAAGCTAGTTCAAATTTCAAAGTTATTTTTCTCGACTTAAAGAAGCAAACAAATTTAAATAAGTTTAACTTTCTATGCTATATTAATTTTAATTTATATAATATTTATGAAAATCTGTACTCCCCTTGTCAGGTATTTTAAAATAAAATAAAATACAAAACCCAGAATTTTAACACAAAAATAGCAAATTTTTGAATACGGTAGTTATTTTTACCATGAAGACAAATCCAGAGGTCAAATTTTTTTTTTNTACGGTAGTTATTTTTACCATGAAGATAAATTCAGAGGTCAAATTTTTTTTTTTCAAATCGGTTCAGTGAGAGCTGAGATTGAGCGTATACAGACACACAAAAAAAAAAATACATCATAGTAAAATTAATACCTTCTCAGCTTCGCTTCGAAGATAAAAAAAACTGTTAAAAAACACGTCGCACAATGGAAAACAAAATAAAGAAAAATAACGAGAAGATCAGTCGGACATTCCAAAAAATGTATCAACCAAGGCGATCATCGGAAAAAACAGAATACATTGTTAGAAATACACAATCGGAGGTGGTCCTGTCACATTAACAAGGATGAGGAAATGCACAATGATCACCCATTGTCATATTAATAGGTGGACGGCTGATATCAAAAGAGACACGAATGAACGCCCGCCTAAAGCAAGGCGCTGTGCTGTGTCAACATATATTTTATATCTAAAATTGATTTTTAATTTTTAACTTTTGTAAATATACAATTATTTTAATAACTATTATAAGCCAATAAATAACTTAAAATTGAATTTTTATAGAAAGAGAATCCCATAGCATTTTATCGCGCACAATTAAATGTAAATAAATATAAGAAATACGAATGGAAAGATGTAAATACTTACAGAAGAATTTTCGAAATGGAATTTTCACGTCTGAAACAGGTTGAAGATGATTTGTACGAACAATTTCGCAAGGTAGATACTGAAAATAATAACACTGTGTCAAGAAGTAATGCAATGAACGTCATTTCGACTAGCACATTCTTTGATAGTCTGAATTACGAAAACCGTTCAATAATAGTCGATCGGTTTATAAATAACGAATATAAATTCGATTACAAAAGTAAAATATAATGAATCTTTATTACTTTTTCCTAATATTATTTGAAATTAAAACTGTTAGTATAATATTAATTTAAAATTAAGAATATTTAACTAAAAATGCTACAAAAAATTTTAAACAATAATATACGTATTTCGGAAATAATGTTAATAATGCCTTATAAAGATCTTTGTATTATTTTACGTTTTTAATTAATTTTATGATATAGCGCCTCTATTATATATTTTTTACACTTCGGATATACTGACTACTACAAATACATTAATTGATACTTATGCTAACGATACAGCTATACTAGATTCTCATACTGGACCAGCACTGGCAAGCCAATGTGTAGAATCTCACTTAGATACTCTTTCAAAGTGGTTTAAAAACTGGAAGATCAAAATTATCGATACTAAAACTAATCGTGTTAACTTCTCCTGACGACCTCTAAACTGCCCTTAAATCACATATAACGGCACAGTAATCTCACAATAAAAAGAAGTAAAATAATTTGGTTAAATTTTCGACCGTAGGTGAATTTATTTATTTATTTACAACCGCACGTCGAACTAATATTTTTTGCATTTTTCTTAATTCTCTTTTCTCTTTTCTAAAAACAATTTTTTCGATTTCGTTATTTACATATATATTGTTAGGTTCACCCCTTACATCTTAAAGGGTGTCAACTTCATTTTTTTATAAGAAATGTATAGTCTATATTTTTATTGCATTCACTTACATAAGTATTCTAACAGATCCTGACTATTCGTAAGTTTAGTTCAGGTCTGTCCATAACGAACCCTTTTATCCACACCCCATCAGAGATAATTTACTTTCTTTAGTAGTAACTCAATCAGAAAGAGTCTCGTATATTATATTACTTAATACTAGTTGACGAAACAAAGGCGACTACTAATCTTGACACCTATTTAACAACCACTACCAATCCAACTAACTTTCTAATATTATTTATTTTGAGCTACTATGATATTAAGACCCTTACTTTTCTCCAATCCAAAATTGAATTAAAACTATTAAATCTTCCTAATAATTTAATGGCCAAATTTAGCACTAAAAACTTCCAAGCAACCCAACCCAACCTAACCCAACCACGTCTTAAACGCACCTGTCGTAGAGACCTATGACCAAGCAACTAAAGAGATAAATAAAAAAAAATCTTTAAATTTATATAATTTTAACTAACAATGTAAATACTATTATTGTGAGGGTTATAATGTGAACTACCCATTCATCCTATCCACGTATTCAATTAATAGATTGTAAATATACAAATAAAGAGTATATTCTATTTATAAATTTTAGAGAAATCTAGTTCTTTATAGATTCACTCCGAATATACTAATTAATATATTATAAATATACTTAGAGTGATACTAGAAAAGTATACAAAAATGTATATACATTATAAAGTTTATGTTTATGTTTAAAGTAAACAAAAATCAAGTCTATTACAAAGGTACTATATGATAACAATTGATCATTCGGGTAATATTATACAAAATAAAATATGTTTAAAATATTTATTTAAGACTAAAAAATTAAAAAAATATTATACTCAAAAAGTTACAAATACGTATTTCGAAATAATTTAAGTATCATCACTGTTACTCATACAGACACTACAAACTAAAAATACTCCCTTATAACCCCAACTTATCTAAATATCTAGTGCTGCTATCATATACATATGCTATCATAGTAATGTTATAGTTGATTGTCAAATTTTGCCAGTTTAATAATGTAACCAATGGACCTCAATTCTAATGAATTAAATTATTCTTATTCTTAAACGTTTTATTATCTCCTTTATATTAAGATCTTTGTATTATTTTACGTTTTTAATCAATTTTATGATTTAAATGGAGTGATTATATGTACGTAAATGTTTAGGTACAGGAGATTTATTAATTTCTTAATTATTTATGCTTTTTAAATCTAACCCTATGTTTTTTTTTTTTTTGTCTTCCTTGTTCAATTTTTATGAACTTTGTAATTTCATCCCTTATTTAATTTAGTCCATTAATATTTTCTAATAATTCATAAGAATCGTCCACGGGTAAGACCTTATTGAATTATTAGAAATAAAAATTTTAACAACTATTAGTTGATATAGTATCTATTGCCGTCTCCTATTTTAAATAATAACTCCCGTATAAACAATCTAAATATTTATATTGACTCTTGAGAATTATTACTTTATGTATAAGTTAATTAAATGAAAATATAAAAAAAATATTATAAATTAGTTATATACACAATAAGAAATATTTAAAATTATACTCGACAACAATTGCAATAGTTATCGGTGTGGATCTCACAAAAGGTAGTAATCACTTTGTTAGCCACCGATATTTCAAAGAAGTCCGGACGGTATAGTCCCGAAAAGGATTATTTAGGTACTGGCATTTTTAAATAAGGAGCCCCTATATCAATGTTGTCCGTTGCTGCTAAAGGTTTGCAGCTGTTATCAATAACGTCGGCTTTCGTGATTTCACCTATTCACTCATTTTCATGTGCGTTATTTGCTGAATGAATATGGTGTAAAGGAACATTCATGTTTTTTCTTCACGTTGTGTGACAGAACTTACTCTTTATGAGTTTTAGGCCTATGCCTTTTAATATCTCTCTGTGGTTATTAATATAATAACGGTTAAACTCGCTGCCTTTTATATAGTGCGGTTCCTCATTCCGCGTGTACACCGACAGTTGGCCTTGTTGATATTACCTTACTTATGTATATTAATCTATAATATAAATACCTCCTATCACATGATTTTATATTATATTAATTATAGCAACTTACTTTATACTTTATACTCATTGTTACAAACAATGAGAACAATAGAAACCCGTTTCCTGACTTACTGAACACCCTGTATAACTATTTAGTCGGCCCATTATAATTATGTCTACATTAGTTCTTAAATCGTGCCATTTCTCAAGTATACTTATGGCTTTATCTAGCGTCTTCAACAATTTTTATTGTTGTTTTAGTAGTAGCGACGTGCATAGAAGTTCCCGTAACATAGTTTATAAGTACCATCTCAACCTCAACTCTATGTACATCTTAGCCTTTAACTTCCAAAGTTAAACTATTTTTGAAATTATTAAACATTTTAATTTTCATGAAGTAATATATTGCTTAGTTAAAAAATATTTACTATAATCCCTAAGTAAATAATTTTTTTATTCTTTTTGAGTTAGAAAAAAATAAAAAAATAAAATTGATTATAGGAATAAAAATTTTATTTAATAATATATACCACTGTTTAAAAAAAATCAAAGATTTCCAATGGGAATCTTTAAACATTATGTTTGCCACCTTACCTGGATAACTCCTATAGCAATTCTTTCTACATTTTTTATCTTTACGAATATTAGCTACTATTGTATTGATAATAATTGTAAAATTTTATTTTGTTTCAGAAATGAAAAACAACATAATTAATATTTACGGTTTTAATAAATNTACAACATAATTGATCTTTACAATTTTGATAAATCTTCTATTTATTTTTATGATGCTGAGACAGATGATTGGGTGAATAAATAATCGTAGTAATTTATACTTAAAATTTATAAAAATATAGTTAAACTTTATTGAAAATATTCATTTGATATTATATTTGTTAATAAACGTTTAATTTATTCTAGATAAATTTTTGTTTGATTTAAAATATTCAGAGAAAATATGAATCATTTTACGTGTGGTTTATTATCACATTTCTATGATTAAGTGGCGATAGAAATACATAATCAGACACATTATGAATGTCTATATGCAGTAATTGTAACACAATTCTAAAAAATTATTTTATAAGACGAGCAAAATAATTTTTAATTCTATGTTATTCAATGCTAAATCATCATTACACAAAACTCCCTTTTTGAAACTACTGTACTTACAACAATGAAATAGTTTGTTTTAATAATCGTGTTTTTCATTCATGAAAGTTGAAAAATTAAAATATAGTTGTGTTATTATTCTGTTTAATATCCGATTAACTAGATATTTTTTACTTGACATAACAAAATATTCACAAAGTTTATTGAAATAAGTAATTTTGCAATTCAATATCATAACTTTTAATTGTTTTGAGTCAATTTTATTGTCAAGTTACTTATAACATAATAATATGACATATTTTTATAATTTATATAATGTATTTAATTTTATCTCTATGATTTTGAAATGACCTTAAAACATTTCAAAATGGTTTAAGTGTTGATATTTATCAACAAATTATAAAATAAAATTAATTATTTCAATATTCAACTCTTACTCCATATAGGTTTTACCTAACTTTAGTCTACCTAAATAACTAATTTAGAAACCTACCTTCTGTTTTATTATTTAGTAAAATTTTGCAATTATTAGTTAAAACAACAAAAAAAAAAACCCAGCACAGGGGGTCGCGGCACAGTGGTGACGTGGCATAGTTAGATCAAGTATAATGATATCTGACAGTGATTAAAATCACTATCAAAAAAAAAATGCATCGATGCATATCTTTAGATAGTGTTTAATTTTAAAAAATTGGTGGATTATTCCAAAAGCTACATAATCTGCTAGTTCCTTATTAATATCCTGATTAAGATAAAGTATGTCGAATGAAAAAGGGATTATTAAAAAATATTATTTCTCATAAAAAAATTATGTTGATCCATACACTTTTCAATAAGTTATAGCATTATAAAGTTAAAAATGTGAAAAATAAAATCGAGAATTTTCACACAAAAATAGTATTTGGTAGCCATTTTCAACCTGAAGACAATCTAAAGTCCAAAATTATTTTTTCATAATAAAGTATATTACATTAGCTTTAATTTAAGATATATATAAAAGTGTCAGACTTTCCGGAACACTTTCAAAAGTTAAGTTGGAAAAGTTAATTTTTAGTGAAAAAGTTGTCATTTTGAATCCCCCCCTGTAGACAGGTAAAAAGTCAGATTTAAAAAAAAATATACCAAATGAAAGATAATGATACCTTGCATCAATATAAAAAAAAATTATATTGATTTGGTTATTTTTAAAAAAGTTATAGCAATTTTAAGTAAAAAAAATTGAAAAAATTTCGAAAATAAGCGATTTTTAAATTTGTAATTTTTTTGGAGGTTTCCCCCATTTATGGGGAACGAGGGAATTTTTTTCAATTTTTAAGGGTAATGTCTTCGACTAGATACGATTTGTGATCTTTTGACGTATCGTTGAAAGAAATCGGTTTTGTGAGAGCTGAGAAAAAGTGGTAACAGACACAAAAAAAAAAACACATCATAGTAAAACCAATACCTTCTCAGCTTTGCATCGAAACTTATAAAATAATGATGTGAACATAAGCTGATTTAATTTTTCAACTTTTAAGCTATTAAGAAAAAATAATTTATACCTAAATACTAATAACAAATAAGTTATAAATAATTTTGAAAATAAATATAAATTATAAACAATGTTAAATTTATTTTATTTAAAATTAAAAACAATTCCTGCCTTTTTTTAGTCATATTTTCATTACTATTATTTAGAGCACGCAAATAACAAATTAACAAAAACAAATAAATTACCTATTATAACTACTAAATTATAAAAAAAAAACGGATTAAAGATAAGATTTATCAAAAAAATGTTCATAGAGTATTACTCTATCGAATTTTGTAATCAACTAGATTCTAATTAATGCATATTTCAATAAGTATCAATGATACTTGATAGTTTGTTATCATTTGTTGGACCAGAGTTAAAAAAAATTTATCTGCAACCACGTTTGGAGTAACTGCTATTCCATTTATTATTACGTCCAGAACGTTATCTTTTTCAAATAACGTTTTCTATGAATATAAAAATGAAAATATAGCCATAATAATAACTGTATTACTCAATAGTAATCACAAATTAATAATAATTTCAATGTATATAAGGCCTAGTACGTTATTGATAATTCGTAAAAATAATTGAATTTTAAATTTGGGGGGGCCGGCCCTGGGCCATATTAAATCTAAGGGAGGCCAGGCCCACCCATGTCTACGTGCCTGATTCTAACTACTACTATATATATATATATATACATATGTACCCTAAATTATTTGTGAGCGTGCGAGATAGTCAGCTGTGTATTACTTCAGACCGGTCCATTAATGGCATTTGTGTGTACACTCACCCCACTCCTTACCTATCTTGAACGTCATTTGCACTGCTTAATTCTAATTCGAATTGTTCTTAATAATTTCCGTCATTAGATAGTAAATATAATTGACCCCTATTCTAAAGGCTAGCCGTATTGTCGCCATTGAACCATAGGGTCAAACGCGAGACAGTTTGTCGGAAATTAGCCATCATCGGAACCGGTACGCTAGTTTTCGTCCGTAGCGGAAGTTTTTTTTTAGTTGTGTGCGTTGCGACTATTGTGTGTTTTATTTTTTATATATTTTTTTTTCGTGAGTGTCCACTAATTTTGTAGAAATGTGAATTTTTTTTTTTTGTTGTCGGCTAAACCTTCCTTTATTTTCTGAGCCCTTGGGGCTGGTAATATACATTTAATTATTACGTTTTGAGCCACATTTTTTTAGCCCGCCGTGCCATAAGCACGCGTGGCAAATTTTTTTATTAATTTTTTGTAGGTGTTCCTATTTTAGGGACCTCTTTTGTCTTGTATATAAAGTATTTACCAGGCAAGCATCTAGTCCTTCTAGAACATTCGATGCTTGCTCAGCCCTTTTCAATGTATTGGGCCTACAGCCGCCGCCGCCTGAGGCGTTGCGCCAATAGTGGTCAGCTACTCGTTCAAGAGTCATATAGTTCATAGGGTCGAACCTGGACGACTCTCCACTGAATCACTTTCACTGAATCTTTTGTTAATTTGCTCACTGAATCTTTTATGTTAACTTGTTCACTGAATCTTTTATATTAATTAAGTATCAACTCATTAAAGTCGAGAAGTCAATTATAAGTGTAAATGTATTTTTAAATATAATAAATAGCAACTAATTATCAAACGAATTATCTTTTCATTTTGTCTACCGTACCAACCAGGTCACAACACCAGCCTAGTGTCACCAATGGGTGATTTCTTAATTCAAAATATTCATGCTACTATTAAAAAATCATATATACTTATTGTGCTATGTTGTACAGATTGTGTATTTCAAATTGTAAATAAAATAAACAATTTTATTCTTATAATTTTTTTTATCCGATTAACAGTTCGTTTGTTACAGCTTGTTAAAATTAAGTGATATTAGGGCAATTTTCTATTGTCATTTTACTGTATTTAATACAGAAATCATTATTTTTATTTACAGTTGCATAAACCAATTTATTGATTAAATTTTATTGGTCCAGTTATGACAGGTAAATTAGCTATACAAATTTACTACGCACTAAATGAGTGATAACAATAATAGATTCAAATCGGATTTTCGGTGTATCTTTAATAGCTAAATCTATAGTTTGGTAAGACTAAAGGATCTAACAAAATTACCGGTTGCACTACCACCGATATTATGAAACGTAATAAATGCCAATATTTTTTCTGGTAGTCAAAATCTTTAAACAATTATAAAACGTAAACGGTTGTTCGGATAAAAAAATTATAAGAACAAAATTGTTTGTAATTTTTTTTCTATCAAATATTATCAAATCAAAAATAGTGGTTCCCATTTAAAAAAAATATAAATAAACATTTTTATTCCTGAAGGGATAAAAAAAAATTCATTTAACTTCATATTATTGTAGTTTTATAAACTTAATAATTTTTCTTTTTACAAAAATTTTAAACTCTCAATAGTTTCTGAGAAAATAAGTGTCTTATCAGATTTCGATCACTCTGTATTTCACTATTTATAATGTATAATGTAGCACTGTAATATTTTTCTATAACAAACAGTATAGTTTTATACATCAGTATAATATAAATATAGTAACCAATTAATAATTAAAATATTTAAAATTTTAAAAGGTTTAATAATATAATGTAATAAGTACACGAATGACATTTAGCCCTGAGGTCATCAAATAACATCACTGTTCGCACTATCTTTGGTTTCAAAAACATTAATAAAAAAAATAATACAGAATATCAAATAAAAGAAAGTAAATTTAAATTTGGGTAATTTACGGTTAATCCATGCCAAATCATCCACCTTACTTTTTTATTAAATTTTCTGGGTTTATTCTTTATGCTATAATTAGATTAAAGAAATTATTTTTATGACCTTCCCATTTTTATTGCTATTTCAATAAATAAAAAAACCCAGCACAGGGGGGTCGCGACACAGTGGTGACGTGGTATAGATGGATCAAGTATAATGATATCTGACAGTGATTAAAATCACTATCATAAAAAAAATGCATCTTTAGATAGTGTTTAATTTTAAAAAATTGGTGGATTATTCCAAAAGCTAAATAATCTGCTAGTTCCTTATTAATATCCTGATTAATATACCAAATGATAGGTAAAGACATCATGCATCTATAAAAAAAAATTTATATTGATCCATACATCTTTCAAAAAGTTATAACATTATAAAGTTAAAAATATAAAAAAGAACTTTTTTACAAAAATCGTATTTTTTTTATAAACTTTGATGTCTGTTTTCACCATGAAGATAAAATAAAGTCCGAAATTTTTTTTTTGCATAATAAATTATATTACATTAGCATTAATTTAAGATATATATAAAAGTGTCAGACCTTCCGGAAA